TTTCGTTTTAATATTATAGATATTATTTTATCATTCGCTATACACCCTTGAATACTCTGTGGGGAGCCAATGGTAGCTCGATTATGAAGTAGAGGCTTTGTTGTAGTACATATTAGAATACATATAAAACAATAATTTTTTTATCAAAGGATATTCTAAATATTAAGAACTACTTTTACAATGTTTCACTCTAGAGCGGTAGTTATCGATTTGTTTTGACGACGTTATGTTGGTAAACAATTCATTTGTTACAGTATTACACAAGCTTTTACGTTAACTTAAGTATTAGTTCAACGTAAACGGTTGAAGTGATGAAAGAAACTATTTCAGCCTTATCGTGGTTTATGGGCTACGCAAATAACTGCAAGGTATGGCGTTTTTATGTTCTAGAAATGTGTAGGAAATTACAAAATTCATAATCCTGTGGAGTTACTTAACAAACTCTTAATATACATATTGAGAATAAATCAATGTCCATTCGTAATGAGGTAGATATTAGTGATATAGCACCTTACAATAGCGTTTTTTTTTTATTTGCCTACCTATACAAAGTCTCTACTTTTAGGCACCTTAAAATAAGAAAATAAATAGCAAAACCTAGAAATAATTAGAACACAGATGAAACCATTGTTGTTCGATAGTGAAAAGTATTGTGAATAACATATCAAAAGTCTCCAAAAATATCTTTGGTGGAACACCACTATTTTTCCAAAATGGCGGCCAAATCCAGTAGTTTTTTTCTTCTTTTTATTGAAATTCTGACTTTCCAGTCCATATTGGTAAAAAGTCGTCAATACATTTAATGTTCCTCCTGAAATTACCTTTAAAATGATACCAAATACATGTACCTACAACAAAAAATAAATCCCGTAGAAATAATAAAATATTTCAAATAAAAATATTTTTTATAAATTAATGTAATAGTCCAAGCAAACAAAAAATAACGTACACAGGGGTCGTATAAAAATTTGCAAGTAAACATTTTATGGTTTTATTTTTATTGTTGTAGTGTGCAGAGTGACATACCAAAAGTTGCAAAAAATCATTCCATGGGAAACCCCTAAATTAAGGAAAAAATGGCGGCTTTTCCCAATATTGGACAAATTTTGCAACAAAAGATACCACATGTTTTTTTGCACATTTTTCGAGATATTGACTTGGAACCACGACCGATATTTATTGGATGGTCCGTACTTAATTTCAATAGGGGACGCTTTTTGGGCCGCCATCTTGGATCAGCCATATTGGATCTGCCATATTGGATATAAATATTTTTTAATGTAATTATAGTGTTGTGACACATCATTATGAACTAGATTTCCACGCTGATTTCAATGCTGAAATCAGTTTTTTAAATAGCGTTTTACGATTTTAAGATATATAAAAACGAAAACTCTCCCCCATACATTTCTTATGGACGTTTCGTACTTTGACAATTTAAAAACACATTGAAAACTACCACAGTCTAAGGTTGTACTATCAGGTTCAAGTATGGCGTGGAAATAGTTCACCAGCAGATCCAACAGATTGGGAGTGGTGTTTGACTGATGGTACATATGACTAACTTACTTATAAATAACTGTAACTGTGTAACTTGGAAATTGTATTTAGATAAAGGATATGGCCTTTAAAAAATTTCAACAAAAAGTTTTATGGTTTTATTTTGTAGTGTTGTGCAGATTGAAAACGGGGAAAACTCGTCATAGCTATTCGTTCAAGTATTGACTTTTATTTTAGCTATGGATTCCTTATTGGGAGTTATTTAGAATTGGGGATAAATGTCTTTAACTAAAGACAAATTTAAAAATAACAATAATTCATTCAATAGTTCATTGAAGGTAGGCCTACATTATTCGTTTTAAATTTGTCATGTGTCATTTAATAATCAATAAAATTAAAGCGAAACATTTACTGAGTACTTTGATACCAGAACGAACTTTTTAACATATTAACAACCCGAGATATAAATTTTTTAACAAAAACTGATAAAAAGGTTTAATTTAATTTTGTGTTGGGGTTTGTACCTCGTCTATAACTAGTCTGTTTTAACTATAAATAAAACAAAATGAAAGATCTTTTATCACCTAATATTTTAAGGCTAGAACGAACTGCAAGCATTAATAATACCTGGAGAAAAATAATCCAAACACATTTTCAAAGTAACTTACGATACGTCCATAACTGATGTATAGGGGAGAGTTTTCGTTTTAATGTATCTTAAGCAACGAAAAAACTTATTTAAAAACCGATTTCAGCATTGAAATCAGCGTGGAAATCTAGTTCATAATGATGTGTCACAACACTATAATTACATTAAAAAATATTTATATCCAATATGGCAGATCCAATATGGCTGATCCAAGATGGCGGCCCAAAAAGCGTCCCCTATTGAAATTAAGTACGGCCCATCCAATAAATATCGGTCGTGGTTCCAAGTCAATATCTCGAAAAATGTGCAAAAAAAAACATGTGGTATCTTTTGTTGCAAAATTTGTCCAATATTGGGAAAAGCCGCCATTTTTCCCTTAATTTTGGGGTTTCCCGTGGAATGATTTATTGCAACTTTTGGTATGACACTCTGCAGACCACAACAACAAAAATAAAACCATAAAATGTTTACTTGCAAATTTTTATACGATCCCTGTGTCTGTTTTTTTTTTTTTTTAGCGAATTTCCCATATAGGGAATATGCTATTACCGTAGGTCTCATGGTAAGACCTAGACCCGGGACCGATTTTCTTTTTCGTTTTGAGGTCCCCAGAGGCCAAAAACACCATCCGTTCAAATTCATATATATATATATATATATACTAGCTGACCCGGCGAACTTCGTATCGCCTAAGTTATAGGTTTCCCCTAAGACAGACCGATGGAAAGAAAGTACCGTTACGTTTAATTTTCAAGATGATCTCGTTCGCATCGCTCAATCACGTCCTGGTTGAAGTTCGTTCGCTACGCTCACTCACCTTTGGGTTGGAGCTCGTTCGCTACGCTCACTCACCTTTAGATTGGAGCTCGTTCGCTGCGCTCACTTGCCTTCAGGTTAGCTCGTTCGCTACGCTAACTCGCCTCCAGGTTGAAGTTCGTTCGCTACGCTCACTCACCTTTGGGTTGGAAATTAGCTGTTGTCATAAATTAAAAAAAAAAAGTGCTGCACCCTGTTGGTAATCCTTGTAACTTTAATGCTATTGAACATCATAGAACAGAACCAACTTGTTTAATTGAAACAGCTGTTAAGATTCATTAATTCCATTTCTCATAAGGTTAACATGGGAAACTCCAGAGCCCCTGGGCGGAGCCCTTTTAAGAATTTCGAAACGGGAAATAGTTTACGTCCGATTCGCATACCTACAGAATTTACACACCAAATTTCATAACGATCGGTGAAGTCGTTCCGGAGGAGTTTGCAGACAAACACTGTGACACGAGAATTTTATATATTAGAGATATATATTTATATATGTGTCCGTTAGCGCGATAACTCGAGCAAAATTGGTCCGATTTTGATGAAATTTGGTACAAACGTGTAAACCTACATTTATTCGAACGAGTTCGCGAACCAGCATAATCGGACCATGGGATCAGGGGTTTATGGGGGGTTTTATGGGGTAAAATTGGGTTTTTCTAATTTTTGACCCTAAAAACTTAAAATTTCTAAATTTCTCTCTAGACCATTTTGAAGAGCTTAAAAAAACAAATAATTTAGTATATTGAAGTGTTTTTGAATGTTCATTGACTACGGAGAAAATTTAAAAAAATTGTAAATTTAAAATTCCCATGTTATTCTTATGGAGAATAAATAAACTGTTCTAGTTTGCTTGTTTATGGATATATTTTAATCAAATTTGGCAATATGGCTTATTTCATACTAAGCTATCAATATTTCAATTGAAAAAACACATCTCAACATCTTCCCCGTAGCAGCAAACCTAACTACTCACTAAAATTAATGTTATTTAAATAGGAAATAAATCTGAAAATTTATAGGTACGGTAATATTTTAGTAGAAATCAAGCCGGGTAAATGGAAATTCGCTTAGTATGCAGGTTTGCTGCGACGGGGGTATTTTTTTTTTAGTTTGCTTGGACTATTACATTAATTTATAAAAAATATTTTTATTTGAAATATTTTATTATTTCTACGGGGTTTATTATTTGTTGTATGTACATGTATTTAGTATCATTTTAAAGGTAATTTCAGGAGGAACATTAAATGTATTGACGACTTTTTACCAATATGGACTAGAAAGTCAGAATTTCAATAAAAAGCAAAAAACTACTGGATTTGGCCGCCATTTTGGAAAAATAGTGGTGTTCCACCAAAGATATTTTTGGAGACTTTTGATATGTTATTCACAATACTTTTCACTATCGAACAACAATGGTTTCATCTGTGTTTTAATTATTTCTAGGTCAAACCATATATTCAGGGGCCTATTTATTCTATTAATCTCCAACAACATTTGAGTTCTATTATATTTTTTAGTTCACCTGATATGGGCTTGAGCAGTTGTTTCTCCCATCGCTAAAATTTCTTGAACAACATTTCAGTGCCTTGATTCGATTGTGTCTAGCTAAGTATAAATAATTGTGTAAGTACGTAAAGTGATTAAACCCTTTTTTTGCTGTTAATAGCTGAAATTTTGGCATGTGTCCTAGGAGATACTTCAAAATATGTATGAATGTAGAACCCTATAAGATTCTGTATTCATTAGTGACATCTAGCAGCGAGGGACTTGCCCTCGCCCACTAAGAAAAGGAGGTATTCGACGAAACAGGTGTTAAACGGTGACGTAGATGTAGTTGCAGTCATTTAATTGGCATCTGATTATCATTTTCTACAGTGTGTGTTGATCTCGAGCCAAACGTAGAGGCCGTTTTCGTCATCAACATTTAGGAGTAACTCAATACAAGGTCTGGAAGGTGTGGCAACCCTCCAGCAAGACTCAACCTGTTACGTAACGTAACATAGACTTATAGTAAACATCTAACTATCCGCAGGTTCCGTCATCTGGACACCATGGTACGTCTCAACACCCGGCGGGAGAGTCACCAGGGGGGCGTGTCCCCGAACTCCCTGTCTCCGGAACACCAGGAGTCTCCGAGGAGGTCGCCAAACATCTTCCGGAAAAGAGAAACCTCTCCGTCCAAGGAGTGAACCCTTCTTTGCCTCTTCTGATCCGTCAAGAGCCACCAGAAATCTCATTGTGTTGATCCTTCGATATGATTATTATAATAACTTGTTGTCCCATATCATATCTTTGGACGCCAGACTCTAGCCCGGAACCGTGTGCACAATACTTCAGGTTAGGTCTAGACATGGAGCACTGAATAAGAATTCTTATTTAGTTCTCTGTGGTCCTTGAACGTTGCGACATTGTAACTTAGATCAAATTCACTGGTTATTGGTGGGATTTAAACCCGGGACCTCGGGCTCGGGGACCAAAGTCTCGCACTTCCCCCTCGACCAACTATTTCAAATCATTTTGTTTGGGCCTAATTATTACCTGAAAAGGACCCCACAAATAAATTAAGTTTAATGTGTTTTTACGCTATCATAAACTAGTTGTTTTTAGGCTAACAATCAAAAGTCTAACCAAGTTTTAAAACTTTAAACAATTAAGTTAACTTGTTTAACAGTTGTCTTTTGTTCTAGCTTATTATTAGCTTTGTTACATTAAATTTAGGATCGCCAGGTTGGTTAAACGTACAACATATTTCTTCAACATACTGGATCGAAGCGATCCTCAAGATTGTCACAATCCTCAGCAATGTCCTGTAAGAAATTGTAAGAATTACGTTCAAACATCTTAAAATGCCTTGGTATTGTTTTTTAAATGCATAACAAGCCATTCATTTAGCAACAGTGTGGCTGTGGCTCGTTGTTTCCATACAAACAAGATAAAAAAAGACTATCCCAATGTATTACACGAGGAATTGATTGATTCATAAGATATGTAGAAACAAGTTGGACTCTTCTTCAGTGAACGTAACTGAATCTTTTATGTCCTTCGGTGTGCACGGGAATTGCAAATCAGGGACTCGTCATCGGTTTGATTCATCGGGTATGATACCAGCTGATATAAATAAATGTCTGCAGCCTGATGTAGTTAAGTGTGTCAATCACAAGCACAAACATTGGGTTTTATGGTTTATTCTATCTTAATGTTTCCGTCATGTAAGAATTATCTCAAACATTGAAAACTCAGTGATTTTGTAAAAAATAATATTTATGTTACTTTTACTGAACAAAAAGTGTTGATTTACCTAAAAATGTATTTCATTTTAAAAATATAAATTGCATTTATATTTGATTTGGTTTAAGTAGCTACATTCTTTTAAGCTTGATAACGAATATCAAATGTTGGTAAACGTTTTATAAGATTGTAAGGATAAATGATGAACAATACAAAACACCTTCGGTGTTTTAATTCCAATACATGTCTAAAACATAGACTTTCATATAGAGCATAGCCTCCTATAATATCTGTATTATCTTATGTAGACTACAACCATTGACTATACACAGATGTATAGTCTGTGTATAGTCATAGTCAATGCTACAACTGAAATAGACATGCCTTCTATATTGATCAGCAGCTGATCCTTACAGAAGGCATGTATATTTCAGTCAGCTGCAGCCAATTTTTTTTCCAATGTCGAAATTCAAATTTTCCTTTAGTTGTTGGTACTATTTATACTATTTTTATCAATGTGACATAAACTATAAGTTGCCCTTTAACATTTTGATTGGTTCTTAAAAGTTTGGGCGTTGGACAGAAATCAGTAAAACAATATACTCTGTCGCCGACTCAATTCACTAGCTACAGCCTAGGGCATATAGTAGAGGAGGCTATGGACGTCTACTTTATTAAATAATAAATATTTACAGTTCAGTTATAAGAGATAAATAAAAATTAAGTAATTTATTACAACATGAAAAGCTCTTATGTTTCCTATGATGCGACAATAATTAGGTGATGAAATTATAAACCTATTTTTCTAATTATTGTTGGATGAAAGTAGTTTCCATAGCATGTCTGCTCTTCAGAGCAATTTTCGAAGATACTAGGAATCTTTAGCCCTGATACAGAAATAAAACTTGTAAATTTTGTTGTCAATGTACAGTCATAGCGATTGATATAAAATAATCTGTTATAAAATGTATACAAATAAATCGGCGATTTTTTCATAAATTGTTTATATAGTTGGGAAAAATCGCCGATGTCGTATTTGTTCTCTTGTGAAAAGTGATGTGTCCCCAATGTTCCGTGTCTGCTTTTGCCCGGCATTGTTATTTATGTATGCAGTATCAAAACATGTTAATTATTAAAATCATACAAAAACTTACTGAAAGACACGTTCACATGTTAAAATTATGAAAATAAGCAATTATTAGTAAAACATTTGCTGTTTTGTGTTTAATTTTAAGAACCTATGTATGAAAGATGCACTCTCTACTTATGTTTTAAGACAAAAGATATGAATGACTAAGAAATGTTGTATTTTATTGTACATTGTTGTATCATAATGCTACTATATACATTATATTTATGCTATGTATTTTTTTTACAATATGATTACTTGACAGCTTTAAATTTGTCTCATATAAGCAACAACAAAAATTGAGTTTTTATTAAAGATGACATTTATTTGTTAATTTGTAATGTTAAAATTATAATGTAAATATCTGTTATTAAAATATTATGATTTTATAATTTATATTGTAGCTTACGATTTTATTAGGTCTACTAATATATTCTAACAAAAAAATACTTCTTTTACTGTATCGATTCACTCCTTGCTTTGCTGGTACGTTCAACGCACCGACCCAAGGTCTACGTGGACGGACGGTCAAATGCAATAAACAACTAAAAAGTAAATCGGTCCCAGGCCTACTTCTTACCAATAGCCCTACTGTAAAATTCGATAAAATAGAAAACGCCAATCACAAAACAATTTGAAAAAGTAAAATACTAAAAATGTACTTACAATGAATTTGTTTTTTTTTATACTGAGTAAAAAAGGTTTCAATGGAAGCAATATTTTAGACTTTCAATAGTTATTTGCAAATTAATACCAAACAAACGTTACATGGTTATGCGATTTACTCTGGTAAGTTACTTGTTAATTATTGAACAAACATTAATTTTTAAAGACATCATGTATGACTTTTATCAATATGCATGGTAAACAAATCAAAATCTAATTTAATCTTAAAAATTATAAGTTTAATAGTAATTTTACTTCATAGCAGTAATTGTAGTAATAGTAATTTTTACTACCTGTGTTATTTATTAAGTGGAATATGTTTTTGCAAATAATTCAGTAAACGGTAATACAATTTCATAATATTTTTATAAAGCTGTTATTATTAATACATCAGAATCAATTATGTATTGTAGTTTTTATTTCATAGTGGCAAATCAATTACGTAAATTGTACTTGATTTATAACTAAAATCAACCATAGACCATTTCCTACCATAGCCGTCTATTATAACAATAAATATTGCAACAACATTATGCATGTCGTTTGTTTGATCCTATAAAAAGAACATTTTATCTATTTACTTAGGCTATAATCATCTTATGTTCGGAGAAACACTAGTTTGATGAGAAATAAATTAAACGTATAATTTAACAAGCTTGTTAAATAGAGCTTGTTAAATTAAACATGCTATGGCATGTTTAGTATTGCCGAGTAGGTGGGACCTAACAAACTAAAGGTCGATCCTAAAAAGATTCAGTAGCTTTTTAATGGTTCGAAACTGGACCCAGCCGTTCCTGATCATTGGACCTTAAAGTTGTTAGTCTTAGTCACATTAGACACAAGCTAGTATCGAAGTCTGTAAACACCTCACCTAAACCATTACAGTTTGAAGTTCGACAGCCAGAACCCAACCTTAGTCCTAGCGTTGCTCTGACCTCCTTCACTCAACTGTCGGAACAGCTGATTCATAACACCTTGTATGCAGACATCTGTGAGAGCTGTCATCCCATTGTCAAAAGAGTTGCATAAATGAGTCATTGAAAATTTCATTTTAACTTTCTACTTCAAACATAAATTAGGACTAAGCTATTGCCCACTGTTTTTCGTTCATCTTTGGACTTCATAACTAACTTAGCAGGAGTATGTTGAAAGCTAAAACATATACATTTTTCACTTTTCCCTTCAATGTTTCCAAAACTCGTAACTTATCCTTAAAAGTTTTTTTGTTTGCTTTTTGATACAATAGTTGAATCTCACTTTAGATTCGTATCCCCACTAGTGGCCATTGAACGCTAAACACTTAAATTTCACTGCCGATTGTCTGGGTAGTGTATAGTGTTGTAGTGCTCGCCTTCTGAAGTTCGCTGGTTCGGATCCAAACGAGATCGTTACTGGACTAAGATGCCATTCATTGGACATTCAATTAATAATACCAACTTACAGAAGGTCAATGTTAGTAAAGAGACCAGTAATTGGGATTTTCCTCGCAAAAAAGTTAAAAAATGCCAACAGCGTAGACGAACGCCAAAATATAAAAAATTCTGAAATATAGCATACTGTACCGACACAACAATCGGTTGAAACTTAGGTGTTTTCAAATTTTAGTAATGATTTTTCACAAATTTGAGGGAGATCTACATTATTTGAGTTTCTATAAGATCTGTACCCTCACATGCTCGATCGAGTAGATGAAGTGGTCACTAATTACTCAAAACTTTAGTCCCCCTTCTAGTATCAAAAATTCAGTACCTACAAGATAAATCCTGACCAAAAATACTCTGAAAATGTGGTACATATTTATTTATTACTATGTAAAAGCATAGTTAGCTCATAAACCCTACACTCATGAACACAAGTCCTAAAGAAACTTCTAAATTATATCGACAGTAACCAAACCCCAAACAGTTGGTGTTTTGACAAGGAGCAGGCTCGACGAGAATCCACACAGCTTGTTTGTAGTTTTTAAAATATTAGTGTTATTTTCAGATTTTCAATCTATTTCTGCTCTCGCCTCTCCAATAGCCCAGCATTTAACGCACTGATAATTTTTTCGTTTTAGTTTCACAGAAACTAAATTGTTTTGTAATTGGCATCTTTAATTAAATGTCTCACATATTAGCGTTTAAAAAATAATATTATCGATTGTGAAATATAACTTAAGGTTTACTTACATTGTTTTGTTTACTTCATTTTTCTACATATTCATCGGTAAGTATCATACCAGTGATTTTCAAAACATAACGTAGTATTATCAAGAACAGGGGATTCTTAAACGCAACCCAAATAATTACAACTACAGTGAGACACTTTTTAACAAACAAACCAGCTGGTGTATCTGTTTTCTTTACTTCATTGCCAATCAGCTGATATGCATCGTTCCACATCTATAAGTGTATAAATTGTTATTGGGAATATTAATATTGTAATATATTCACAACTAGCTGTAACCCGCGGGCTTTGCCCCGTTTAACTTCTTAATTTTCAAGATTATCTCGTTCGCATGGCTCAATCACGTCCTGGTTGAAGTTTGTTCGCTACGCTCACTCACCTTTAGGTTGGAGCTCGTTCGCTACGCTCACTTGCCTTCAGGTTAGCTCGTTCGCTACGCTAACTCGCCTCCAGGTTGAAGTTCGTTCGCTACGCTCACTCACCTTTTGGTTGCAAATTAGCTGCTGTCATAATGTAAAAGAAATAATAGTGCTGCACCCTGTTGGTAATCCTTGTAACTTTAATGCTATTGAACATCATGGAACAGAACCAATGTTTAATTGAAACAGCTGTTAAGATTCAATAATTCCATTTCTCATAAGGTTAACATGGGAAACTCCAGAGCCACTGGGGCGGAGCCCGAAAGGATTTTTGAAATAAGAATATGCCTATATGTTAATCGGGAATGTGAGCTATCATCATGCCAAATTTCAGCCCAATCCGACCAGTATTTTTCGCGTTCACTTGTCACAAACATACATCCATACATCCATACATCTATACATCCAAACTTTCTCATTTATAATATTAGTAGGATTTATTCCCAAAAGCACTAATAAATAAACTCATAGATAACTGTGCAACAATGCATATCAGCTGATTGACAATGAAATAAAGAATACAGGAATACCAAAAAGTAAGCATGTTTTTTTTCAAAACAGTGTCTTATAGTACTTGTAATTTGGGTTGAGTTTACAAAATAAACCCCTGTGTTATCTCATGCACATTGTGACACTCAATTGCCATTGGAATGCCTCCGTTGTACACCAATTACGCGTATGTGTTATTTTTAGAAATCACCTAGCCATTACCAAATCAGGATGCTAAAGAAACATCACACCAAAGAATAGTCTCTATTCCCAGTCACGATTAGCACTTCGTCCTCTAACCAGCAGAGTTCTTGCGGAGTAAAGGCTAGGTGTGAAAAGGTGTCTGTTTGTCCTCAGTTATGAAACAGAAATGGTTGAGTGGTGGGGACATTGTTGATATTCAATGTGAGATGGGTTTTGGAGAATATTATCAGGAATAAACAAAAAGTAAACACTTTGTATAACAAGCTACAGATCGCATAATTACCCGGACAACAAACAAAACCCACTCAATAGTATATTTCGTACCTAGGGCCGAAACACAAAACTATCTCGAGCTGCAAAACCATTTTCGGTCCGTGGTACGAACACTATTTTTCACCACACTACTACTATTTACAATAATAATTAATGCACACTGATGATAGTCAACGCAACTTTAAGGTTATGTGACGAAGTAATTTCAGGAATCAGCAAAAATAATAATAAACAGTTGCTAGGCAACGGTGAAAATAAAACAATCCTATTGCAATGTTATGGATACTGTTTGTGTATTTAATATGCAAGCGGGCAGCTGATTTTGCGGCCCTAGGGGTGTAAAAACCTGCTCGGTACCCAAATGACGATGACAGCTGGCATGGCCAGAAAAACGTAACTTTCAGCCTCTAATTAACGTATGTAAAACAGCTAATAACATCATAATGTGGTGAAAACACATTTTGTTAACGAAAGATTGAAAAACTAACTAAAATTTACCATCGGAATTTCCGTGAATCAATATTTGAAATACACAGTTCTAATGAAATAGCTGGTTAATAATTACATCCGAATGAGATGCAAAAATTGCACGTATTTAAATGATCATTAAAAAATAGCAGAGAGAACTTGTGATCTGTATAATTGTTATTTAATTATTAGATAGCTTTTAAAATCCGTTGAAATTCACTAGCTTGTGGTTTTAGTGTCGGAATTCGGTGTAAAGAAACTGTTTTGATCCTTAAACAGTATCATAAAGGTTTGGTGGGTTCGGATAGTTTTCCTTTAAATATTTTTTGACGTTTTATACGAATGTCACTGACGTAGGCACAAACAAATACTCTAAGAGATATTACTTTCTATGAAGGGGAACATATTGAAGATCGCGTTATAA